TATGATAAAATGGGTTAAAAACTTTGGCTACAATGTACAGATGGAACAATGGGAAAATATGTGGCAGAAAGGACTGAAATTCACATTGTGTAATAACCTTAAAGAGAATTTTTATAAAACGATGTATCACTGGTACTTGTCACCAGAAAAATTATCTAAAAAGTATAAAGGTACTTCGAATATATGCTGGAAATGTGAACAACAAGAAGGGACATTTTATCATCTCTGGCGGGCTTGTAAAAAAGCAAAAAAAAAAAAAAATGGAATGAGGAACATATTTGTATACAGAAGATTTTAAAGATGAATGTTCAATCAAAACCAGAGACTTTCCTTTTCGGTTTGATGGACAAACAGTTGGAAAACACTCATAGAACTTTGTTCTCATATATGATGACAGCAGCAAGGCTTTTATATGCACAGAGGTGGAAAGATAAGACACCACCTACAATGGAGGAATGGTTGGTGAAGCTGATGGAGTTGGCTGAGATGGCGAACTTGATGGCTTTGATTCGAGATAAGACATTGTGTAATTTTAATGCTAACTGGAAACGTTTTTTGGACTTTTTGTGGGAAACAGAAAAAAAGTGAAATTATGTTGTATGGATTTGATGATTAGAAATAATATGGGTTAATAATAGAAATAATGGAAGTTAAATTTTTAAATTTAGAGGAAGAGTTTGATGTATATTGTTACTTATATCTTATGCAAGGAGGGTCGGAAGTCAATTCTTCTTCTTTGTTGTTTCTCTCTTTTTCTTTTCTTTTTTGCACTTTTGATCTTTACTGTTTTCTCTTTTTTCAATTTTTTCTTCTTTCTCTTAATATCAGTTTTTGTTAGCTTTTACTGTGCCTTTTAAAAAATGTAATAAAGTTATTATATTAAAAAAAGAGTAGCCTGAGGACTGACCAACAGTTATGGAGAGGTGGCAGCTGCAGGTGAAAGGGAAGGAGCATTGTGTGCGTTGGGGGAGGGGGACTGCTTGATAAATGGAGAGAAAAAAGTGGAGTGCTCCCCCCTCCAATTAAAGAGAACAGACAGGAAAAAAAAAAGATAAAAACAAAAGGGTTTTTCCACAAAGGTTTCATTAAAGGATGCCCATTTTTTCATAGCCATCATCCTTACATAGACTACATCTGCATGCAACTTGCTCGTAAATGCAATATTAGCAAGTCATATGAAGAGGGCAAAGTGTGTATGTTCTTCCTTGGCACTGAAATTCATACTGACTCTTCTTTTCCCCTTTGGTGCCAAAGGTGTTGTGTGGGGGGGAGAGGCTTACTCATGGATTTTTACTGGGGAGTGAAAAAAAGTCCTAATTTAGCAGAGTGAGCGATTAAGGGACTGAAGTTGGCTGGGAACCAAGAGCTGTGGCAGCTCTTGTCAATTTTTCTGCTTAATTCTCTGCTTTGTTAACATACAAGTACAGTTATATTTCAAAAATTGCTAGTTTGATTTTTTAAAAGTGGGTCTACTGCTCTCTCAAAAGAGCGGCAAAGCTGGGTTTAAAAGAAACCTGCATAATATCTGACAAGTGTTTCAGAAGCTGCCAGATCAGCATCACATTGGCAGATGACTGTCGAAATCAGGGGTCTGGTCTTTCAGGCAGACCAAGCCAAAATGGCTCAGGAGGACAGTGACCAGAGGGTCAGGAGTGCCCCCACAGCCTAAAGTAGCCTGAAGGAATAAATACCAGCATGCTTTATCTGTGTATGACCATTTGTAACAACAGAGCATGATTATCATCCCGCATAGACCATAAGGCTTGAGCATAGTTTTTGCTACATTGCTAATTAGTGTAGTTTCAGTAAAGTGATCTGTATTGTGTATTTTGTATTTATGTGTGCCTTTTGAAGTGTATTTATTTACTAAACATACATTCTGCCTAGCTTCAAGCACTCTGGGCATCTAATATTGCAATAAAAGGGGAGCAGTATAAAAAGAAAAAGACAGATCAACATTCAGCAAGCATATATACACTTACACCTATTTTCTGAGCTGGGGTTTCTGGAGACAACCACAGCAGATGAGCAGGCAGTAGGAGACCCAGTGTGGAGATTCAGGTTCTAGTTCAGCCTTAGGCTCAGAACTCACTGGCTGACTTTGGGCCAATCATTTTCTCTCATCCCAATCTCCCTGATGGGGCTGTTGTGGGCAAAAATGAGTAGAAGGCGTGCTATGTATGCCACCCTGAGCACCTGAACAAAAAAATGGGATATCAATCTAATAAACAAATTTGATTAAGGGGATTTCTACACTAAAAAGCATGGATTATTATGTGACAAATCTGAGACTGCAAGTCAGATTAGAGTATATTTGTAATTTTGCATAGTGGATTTTTGGAGGAACTGCTGAGTTGCAAGCCAATGTTGCGGAGTCGTACTAGAAAATATAGAAAGTGAACTTTACTGCTGGAGTCTTTGAATTCCATCTGTCCACCTAACTTCTAAGTGTCTAGAAATTTATTTGAGGGAGGAAGGGGAAACCATTTGAATTTGACGTATGGGTGTATAAAGATCTCCCAGTGTTCTTCTGTCTGCTCTGCTCTAACAGTCCTATCTGATTTTGTTTCCAGATGACCGACATCGGGTTAAGCTCCATCCACTTCTTGGTGATGCCAACTCTGACTACATCAATGCCAACTACATTGATGTAAGTATGTCAGTGCCATCATCTTCTCTCTTGCTTTTGTTATGCATTTTTTGTCTTAGAAAGTTACTTGGTTGTATAATGTAGAATTTTGTTTGTCTTCTGTTATTCCCCAAGGCTCTGTCTCATACATGCATCCTTAGAAGTTCTCCTTTTCTTACCACCTAACGTTATGTCTATTCCTGTTCTCTGTTGGAATCCTCTTTTGATCATCTGCCCAAGAATGGAATCTTACAGGGCAGGAGCAAATCAAAAGACTAAAAGTATATGCAGTATATAAGTAAACCATTTGTATTGTCTCAAGGGATGAGCTTGTTTTCCAAAGCACCCCTTAGATTAATTTGGACATTCCCCATGTTCTTCCAGATGAAAAAAATAATAATTCAAAAGACATGGGTAACTTTTCTTAAATGATAACAGTAACCCCAAGAAGTTGTCACTGAAGCACATGGATGCAAAGCTGTGAAACACAGCATATGTTCCAGAATTAATTTTAGAAATTACTTAACTTTAGAAATAATTTTGTAACCAGAATAAGGAAAAGTGATTGGTGAATGCCATCACTAGTCCAAAACATTGGAAAGACTTTCCAGAATTTCTTCTGGGAATGCTAACATCAAAATTTGGATATTCCATAGTTATTGGAAGGTTTTGCCAACTTTTGGGTATCTATATTTGACATATAATGACATTTGGGTTCAGTATATAAACTCTAACTTTGCTGTTTGATTTTGGTAGTTAATGTATGATAGGTATTTGATTATCTGGATGCAATCATTTCTATTCTTTGATAATGTTTTGCTGAACAAGTGTTAAATCTTGTCTGCTTAAACCAAAAGGGGATGATGTTTTAGAAGTTCTCAGTTTCCAAAGGTCACATTCAACATTCACATTCCAGATTCAAAATGCAAATAGTCAAAAGGAGACAACATTCAAATGTACATTTTAAATATTTCTGAAAGAGTGTCACAGTATCACAGCTTGGATCTGTTTACAGTTGTCCAGATCAATTCAATGAGCCGTGTCCAACCCCATAATTCTTTGCTGCTGCTGCTGCTGCTGCTGCTGCTGTTCCTTCTCAACATTGCTCTTAATGCACTCCCTTTACTAATGGGTCTAGTCTTCCTTTGCTCTTGTCTCACTAATCTGTCTGTCTCTGATTTCTTTTTCTCTCAAACCTGTGTCCAAATGGGGTTGCTAAGATTCGGATAAACCGAGAAGTAAGTATATGTCATGTCCCTCTTTTTTTTTTCATTTCTCCTCCAATCAAGACTCCATAATTATTCATTTTGGAGTGGAGGGGTTTCCCCATCTCATCCCATCCCACCTCAACTGATGCTATTTAACATGTCTGCTTTAGATGGTGGATTTCATGTAGTCTGAAATGGCAGTTCCTCAGACGTCTATCTTGTTCATCATTAGTGATTCTGTTGTTTTCAAAATGTGTGGTACCATTGTGTGTCCCTTTTTGAAAGGACAATTGCCTGAACAAAATTGTGGTGCTGAGGGACACAGGTTTAGGCCAAGCAGACGACAGTGGATGAAGAAGATGACCAAAAAAATTACTTGCAGTAGGGATATCAGGCCCTCGAGTGACAAATAACAGTCCCTAGGGCAGTCTGTATTGCACCTTTCTATTGTAGAGTGATACAAACAAGGCAGCAAGCAAGCAGTATAAGCAGCTCTCTTTCTTCTTTTCAAAATTAGAGCTCTGAGTTGCTCCCTTTTCATGATCCATTCCAGGGATCCTCTTCCAGGGTCCCAATGTTATACTGTAGTCTGTAGTCGGTCTGGGACATGGAGAAAAAAAGAGCAAAGACACTGGATTTCTCCAGAAATATGGTCTCATCCTACTGAGCTCTAAAATAAAGCAGTTGGTGATGCAGTCATACTTGACCTGGAATCCTGTTGGGCAGGAAAAAGTCTGCCTTTTCCCCTATTACTACTCATTCATCAAATTAGAAATTTATTTCAAAGGAGGATCAGGGTAAAGTTGTGGTCTTGGATCAGTTTATCCACACGATTGACCCTAAATGTGGGTTAACAAAACAGAACTGATGTATTTACTTAACATGCTGTGTCTAAACGAGTAAAGCGTATTATAAAAAATCTGAAAGCTAGTTCACATGACATGCAAAGAAAAGTTTTCCCCCCACATATTGAAGCACAAATGACTCGATTCCATTTGAGTGTAGAATAGTGTGTTGCATATACCCATTCATTAATTATGAGGTGACCAGAGGGTGGGAGGGTGGAAGGAGAAAACTCTGGATTTCAGAAGCTGTTTGGCCTTAAAAAACCTGCAGGAAGAACTAGGTGTGGTAAGACTGGGTGTAGCTGAAATTTGAAGTGCCTCATGCAACCTCTGCTTCTGACTGGATGCCAGAAAAGGTGAGGGCATGGATATTGAGAAATTTCATGTAGAAACTCCTTGGCTTTTGGGTCACCCTCCATATCGGGCCAATATGTTAAGGAATTGGGCAAAGGTTCATGACACTGCTCCTCAGTGCCATCCCTTCCTACTTGCTATAGGTGTGCCTAAAAGTGAAAATGAGCTGATTCATTTAAATATCTCTATGTCCCAGAATCCTTGATGGGGCATTCTGTGCCCTTTGGAGTGGTGGCTTGTCGCAGTTCACTGCTCTTTGCAAAAATCCTGAGGCAGCTAATAACACTGGTAGCCTCTAGCAAGGTAACTGGATCTTCGGCAGTGGTTTAAGGAGTTAGATATCCAAACAAGATTTGATGTCGGGGACTTGTTAAAGCTCTGTGTAATCATTTCTTCAAATTCACTGTTTCTCTCTTCCTGTTCTTCCTCTGGCTATGTTGAGCATGGAAGTATGCACCAATGCGCTTGTCACTAGATGTCCCGTAGAACTATAGTAATGAACTTATGGTCCTCCAGGTGCTGTTGAAGTTCACCTTCCAGCATCCCTCACCATTAAGCATGCTGTCCTAGAACAAGTGCGCAGGGGCATCAGGCCCTTTTGCAGCTGCCAGGTGGATTAAGTCCTAACATTTGGTTCCATTCTCCTATTGAAAACAAGGAAATCCAGGTGTTAAATGTGGGACATTTTTGTCCACATTGTCTACAATACACAGACGTGTGTTCATGTATATTTGCATTGATATGTGACCTCGGGCTTAAATCTAGATATCTGAAAACTAAGTTGCTGATCTGCCTCCTTCTTTTCCACACTTTGTGATGTAAGGATAACTGACTGTGTATTGTCGAAGGCTTTCACGGCCGGAATACGATGGCTGGTGTGGGTCTTCCGGGCTGTGTGGCCGTGGTCTGGAAGTTTTGTTTCCTAAGTTTTGTTTCTGGAAGTTTTGTTTC